AGAACAAGTGGCATATCTGTTCTAGGGAAAGACCAACCTTGGAAATAGAATTATATGAAGAAGAACCGCAAAAAATATTCACCTTTAAAACCCTTAAGAGAGCTCCCAAGTTGCCCTCAGAGCACCAGGAAAGGAAATGACTAAATATAGCCACTCTTCTCCCACCCTTCTAAGGAAACTTATTTTTTCCTTAAATGGTCACTGAAATTTAAGATAAAATTGTAATGACATTTCAAACCAATTTTATGATTTCTCGTTTTTATGACTCTTCCTCGAGGGCTTACAAACAGGTTTCAGTTAGAAGAGAGAAGAGAAGGAGGCGGGGGCAGGCGCTGTAGAGAACCACAGACCGGGGGTGTCTTCTGTCTTGTTTTTTTATATCAGATGCATAGTGCCACGGCGCAGGGCTTGTCTAGGGAGCCTGCGGATTTCACTGCTAATCATAATATTGTCCACGGGAAAATGGATTCCACCTTCTAATCATACCTAGAATTAACCCATTTATAAGCAACAGAGACCAATCTTTCCATCCCTGGGGTCAGGCTGGGAATGAAAGCTTCCCATGGAGATAAAAGAGAACTGATTTTTTTCTTTTGAATTATTTGCTTTGGATTTATTCCCTCAAGTGCTTTTTCATGACTCAAAGGATTTGACTGATTCACGGGTCCCGTTGCGGCTGTGCAGTGTGGCTGGTGCCTTTCAGGCCTGAAATAATACCCAGTTCCCAGCCCCCAGTAACTATTCCGAAGGAGCGCCAACTCCCTCCGAGGGGTGTTTTCTTATCCTGTGTTTCTTGATGTTCATTCTTATCCTACAAGTAACAGCTGATTTCTGTAGAACTTCATGGTTTTCAAGGACTATTTTTGCCACACATCTGGTCCACTGTTATGGTTCCCATTCTACAGCTGGGGAAAATGAGGCTTAAAGACATGGAGTAGCTTCTACCTGGGTTTAACCTAACCTCACACCCTTACGTTTTGGCTATTTGTTCTACTCATTTAAACCCCATTTCATCTTCGATTGTGTTTGCACAGCTCCTCTTTCCATGGCCATGGCCACAGGTTGGAGGAGGGCAGGATGACTAGAAGGGAGCCATAATGCTACTGATGATGGGTGCTGACGCTGAATGCCAGACCCCCACCACACTGCCAGCAGTTTGAGGGAAGCCCTCAGTCTCCTGTATGTGGCTGCCCCCCTGAGACCCGCGAGGACTAGGTCAGAGAACTCTCCCTCTACTCCCTTCATCGGCGGCCCCCGGACCGACAGCAAGGAAGGCAGGAGACAGCTTGCTTACCTCCTGCAAGATGAACTTCTGATTCTCCGGGACAGTGTCCTGGCAGAGATGCATGGTGAGAATGTCCGTTCCTGCCTCCACGGCGATGCAGGCCTCTGGCTGGTGGGTGTTATAGCGTATTTCCTTCTGGGACGTGTACTCGAAGAACTAAAAACGGAGCAGCCAACATGCACAAGTCATGCACAAGGAGGGAGATCACTGGGCGAGAACCTGGGGGAACTCCAGGTTGGAAGAAATTCTAATCCCACCACTTCGTCTCCAGATGTCTGACACCTCGTCTCCTCCATCCTCCACAGGCCCCGCCCTGCTGGTGTATCTGCCTGCTTGGGCTGGGATCCTGGTCCAGGCCACACACCTTCCCTGTCTCCACCTGCCCACCCTGAAACTCAGACGTCACCCAGACAGCCCTGCCCTGGCCCCTGGTAGTTACTCTAAACACTCCTTTGTGTGGCACCATGCATCAAAACGTGTAATTCCATTTAAGCATTAATTCTAAGGAACTCATCCGAAATGCAGATCTGTTGGGGTTTGTTTTTTTTTTTTTCTTTTTTTTTTCTGACAAGAAGTTAGTGGCAGGAGCACTTACAACCACAAAGACAGGCAGGTAGGGACTCAGGTATAACTAAATGGTAATCTACCCACATGAAGGGTTATCAAGAGGCCCTTGGGAATGATATTCTCAAAGGATGTCTAGTAACACAAGAAAAGTATGATAAAGTAAGTGGAAATAATGAGATAGAAAACACATAGACATGATGATAATAACTATTTCAAACAATAATCTAAAGGCCTTGCATCCAAAGAGATAGGAAGTAAATATGTCTTCATTCTAAAGGCGGTTGCTGGGTCCTGTCATTCACTTACTGCTTCTGGGTTGGGTTTTTTGTTTTTTGGGGTTGGTTTTTTTTTTTTTGTATTTTTCAAATGTTCTGCAATAAGCATATATTACCTGGATCATGCAAAAAAATCAGATGTTTAATTTTTTATTTTATTTTATTTTTTTTACTCTGATCTTTGTTATCAAACTTTTAATTTTTATAAAACGGAGAGATTCATACCAAGAGTCCCTTGAGCACAGCGCCTCCTGCTGTCTGCTGCCCGCTGGCCCTGGGATGTCCAGCTAGAAAGAAGCAGCACCTACCTGGTTCTGACCCATTCCGTGACAGAGATATAGAAGGACCTGGTGTCCCATGATCTGGCTTTCGTTGGGAGGGTTATAGTCAAAGCAGTAGTCTTTCAGTCCTTTGTTCTGTAGCTAAACAAAACACAAAGGTGGCATTTTGGTCCAGATTTATATGCAACAGCAGATCCCACCCAAGGTTCTGAGGGTACTGACTCCATTAGAAAGCAGTGTCTGCCTCGAGACTGGATTTAATGGGAAGAGCCCCTGACATTTCGAGGTCTGAAAGTGCCTTCCCATTCTATGCCATAGGCAAGAAGCATAACCCCCATTTTAAGATGCTAGATCTGAGTTGCAGACAGTTTAACTCTTTATGGCTTGAAAGCTCCTATCTCTTCAGTTCTTGTTAGTGCAGCCTTATTGCTACACTAGTCCAAGCATAGCTGGGTTGTTGCCTCACACATGTACCAAGGACTCCTGAAAGAATGCATCTGCAAAAAGATACCCTGATTGAGAGACTCACCAGCCCCCAGATTAGAAGTGCACGATTCTAGGCTACAAGAAACAGCATAATACAGAGCCAATGACTTGCCCAAAGTCACGCAAGTATAGACACCCGAGTCTGAATCCGGGACCTCAGCTCCCAAGTCCAGTGCTCTCTCCATCACTTGATGCTGTCTATCTAATGTCATCTCTAAGATACCTCTTAGATCTAAAACCCTTCAAACATTCTAAGAGCAAAAAACCAAGCTCCCTCTTCCCTTTCAGGAGCCTCTAGGGAAAGACACGCACCTTTTTAAACCCCTTTCTGGAGAGTTCAAAGACCCCTCAATGAACTCCTTGTGAACCCCACCCCTGCCCTGGCCCTTGTCCACCCTTGACTAGGCTGTTTCTGAAGACAAGACTCAGCCATATAGAAAGAAGTTTCCACAATCCACCAGCTCGTAAGTCATAGACTTCCATGTTCTTGGAGTCTCTTTGCTTTGTGAAGGAATCTGGGAATAGGAGATGCTTAGAATAATCAGAGCATCTTAGGCTTGGAAGGGTTCAAATGTCATCTAGCTATGTCTTGACCACCAAAGGACCTTGACCTCAAATGAATTCCCTATGTTCAGAAAGATTTGGAAGAAACTACAAAAACACTAAAGGAGGTTGGGGGGAGCCTCTGATGATTAAAACTGAGATTAAATAAGCCAGCTGTATCCTGTTGGTGAGACACAGAAAAAATGATATTAAGTGACTTTAGAACATACCATTTAGACTATCTCATATTTGATTACATTTCCTTGGTGAACTATATTCTACAAACAAATAGATCTGCAAAGAAATCTTAAACCTCATTCAGTATCACACTGTCAGTGTGTTATTGTTTTGAAACTACTTTAAATAAAGTTTAACATAGGGGCGCCTGGGTGGCTCAGAGGGTTAAGCCTCAGGTCATGATCTCAGGGTCCTGGGATCGAGCCCCACATCAGGGTCCCTGCTCAGTGGGGAGCCTGCTTCTCTCTCTCTCTCTGCCCCTCTCCCTGCTTGTGCTCACGCGCTCTCTCTCTATCTGTCAAATAAATAAATAAAATCTTAAAAAAGAAGAAGAAATACAAGTGTAATATCAAAGAATAAAAAAATCCTGTAAGATTACATTTGAATTTGAGATATCAATATGAGCTCACAATTTGTTTCTCAAAAATACACATTTCCTTTCTCTGCCTACTGAAAAGCTATAGTGCTGGGCTGTCCCACATGGTACCCACAGGCGGTACATGGCCCAGGGCACCTGACGGGGCTAAGTCCACACTGAGACACGCTGTAAAGATAAAATACACAGCAGGTTTCAAGACTCAGTGTGAAAACAAGTGTTAAAGCTAATAATATTGGGGGTATACTGAATTAAAATATATTATAAACTTTACTTGCTCCTTTTTTAAAAACATGGCCACTAAAAAATGTCCCATTACTTATGTGGCTAGCATTGGGTTTCGGCTGTGGTGTGTGCTCTAGAGACAGACCATCACTAGCATCCAGACTGTGGGCTCCGACCACTGCCCCCCACAGAAAGTGTTGGGGCTTCTGGGAAGGATGGCAGCAGATGGAGAAGACAAGTGTTGACAGAATCAAGGAGGTGATCAAACCAACAGAAGGGGTCAAGATCCTAGAAGCCAAAATAAAGAGATTCTCACTAGCCAAAGACAGGCAACCTGAGCAGTTAAAAGAAACACACACACACACACACACACCAGACTAATTGACTGAAGCACATTGACTATATAAAAGCCCGTTGGTTTACAATGTTGCTCAAGAAAAAAAAGCCAAAATGCAAATGAGCCAACAAACAAACAAAAACAACCCATTCCGCCCCATTGGAGCAAACTGGAGCACCAACTCTTACCTGAAAACAGGCAAATAAAGAGAAAGACTGAAAAATGGGTTACGCCTTTTCTGAATGAACTCTAAATTTCGTAGATACCAAACTTTCCTGGTTAGCGAGGGAACACTCTTCTTTACAGAAGAATCTCGGCTCATGGTGCAGAAGGAACGAAAGCACTAGAAAAAGCCCTGATTGGCAATGCCATTTGAAATACGGGTCTAGGGCTCGCTTGCGCAGCACATATGCTAAAATTAAAACGATGTGGAGAAGATCAGGGTGGGCCCTGCTTAAGGATGACAAGCAAATTTGTGAAACCTTCCATATTTAAGAAGAAATATGAGCCTAGGCCATGATTGTCAACAGCCACCAGAAACATGAGACAGAAGGCTGAATGGCCCCTGAGAGCAGCTGAGAGGCTCCCTTGTCACTAGAGGCAGGAGACCAGAAGTGAGGTGCTCCCGCTGTTGATGCAGTTGGAACCCAGAGTGCATCCAGGAAGTGTCCTTGCCATAAAAGGTCTATTCCCACTCCAGTCAAGGCTTTAGACCTCATTTCCAGTTTAAGAAGGGTGGGTGAGAGAGGCACCATTTAAGACCCACAGGGAGATAATGAGGTAACCCCAAGGGTGAGACTTTCTACAGGACAACAGATGCTGGTTGGTTTTTGTTTTTTTTTTGTTTTGTTTTATTTTGCTTTGTTTTTTTAACAGTTATCAGCTAAAGGAGGGGAAGGAAGGGAAGAGGTCTGCCTTAGCTCAAAGAGTCCTGGGAGGAAAGACATGGCAGCCAAACACAATGGGTAGACCGGGTTTGATCCCCATCAGAACAAGTCAACTATCCCGAGAAAGATGTGAAAAATTGGGGGAATCTGATAAGGGCTTGATAGGAAAGGAAATGAAGAAATGATTGCTCCTCAGATTGGGTGTGATAATGGTCTGTGGTTGTGTGAGATCATATCCACACAGACATGCATGTGACAGTGACGAGGACTGAGATGACATGATGCCCAGGGTGTGCCTGAGCAAAGAAAAATTGTGAGAGGAGGGAGCAGAGGAGCCAGAAAGCAGGAGAGGCGAAATCATGATGATTCTAGATTCTTCAGGACAGAGTTCCTTACACCATGCTCTCTGCTTGGACATTTCGCAATGAAAATTGAATTTAATGCATTAATGGCCTGCTCTGTATTTATTTTTTGTGTGTGATTATTTATTCAATGTCCACCTCCCTCATAGACAATACACTTCTTGAAGGTGGGATAGTGGTTGTCCTTCCACCATCAAACCCCGATGCCCAGAGCAGTGCCTAGCACAGGGTAAACTCCATGTAAATATTAAAGTTGGGGTATTCTGAAAGTTACAGACACTCTTGAGAAATACAAATATGTTGGGTGAATGAAAATTTCATCAAAAGAGCCAGAGATTTAGAAACAGTCAAGAGACCCCACCTATTAGGGAGATCATTGTTCACGGTGTTTCTTTTATGTTTTTTAGGTGACTGAAGATGTAATTGGTTCTGATTTAGTTCACAGTCACAGAGAACTCACGTTCCATGCAATGTGCTTGCAATTCTATCTCTCTCTCTTTTTAGTTTCAGAGGTAGAATTTAGTGATTCATCAGTCTCATATAAGACCCAGTGCTCATTATATCATGTGCCCTCCTTTATGTCCATCACCCAGCAGCCCTATCCCCCAACCCTCCTTTCCTCCAGCAACCCGCGGTTTGTTTCCTAGAGTTAAGAGTCTCTTACAGTTTGCCTCCCTTCCTGTTTTCATCTTACTTTATTTTTCCTTTTCTTCCCCATGTTCATCTTGTTTCTTAAATTCCACATATGAGTGAAATGATATAATTGTCTTTCTTTGATTAACTTATTTCACTTAGCTTAATACATTCTAGTTCATTGCAGAAGTCAAGATTTCACTATTTTTGATGGCCAAGTAATATTCCAATCAATATATATATGTATACACCACATCTGCTTTATCCATTCAGCTATCAATGGACATCTGGGCTCTTTCCATAGTTTGGCTGTTGTGGACATTGCTGCTGTTTTGTGGACATGTGCCCCTTCTAATCACTACGTTTGTATCCTTCGGATAAATAGTAGTGCAATTCCTGGGTCATAGGGTAGCTCTGTTTTTAACTTTTTTAAAAAATATTTTATTTATTTAATAGGCAGCGATCACAAGTAGGCAGAGAGAGAAGAGGAAGCAGGCTCCCTGCTGAGCAGAGAGCCCGATGGGGCTCGATCCCAGGACCCTGAGATCATGACCTGAGCCGAAGGCAGAGGCTTTAACCCACTGAGCCACCCAGATGCCCCTGTTTTTTGTGTTTTTTTTTTAAGATTTTATTTATTTATTTGACAGACAGAGATCACAAGTAGGCAGAGAGGCAGGCAGAGAGAGAGAGGAAGCAGGCTCCCCACGGAGCAGAGCCTGATGCGGGGCTTGATCCCAGGACTCTGGGATCATGACCTGAGCCAAAGGCAGAGGCTTTAACCCACTGAGCTACCCAGGCACCCCCAGGTGCCTCTGTTTTTAACTTTTTGAGGAACCTCCATACTATTTCCCAAAGTGGCTGCACAAGCTTGCATGCCCACCAACAGTGTAGGAGGGTTCCCCTTTCTCCACATCCTCGCCAACACCTGTTGTTTCCTAGGATTTTGATGGATTCCTGTCTCACATTGAGGTCTTTCATCCATTTTGAGTTTATCTTTATGTATGGTATAGGAAAATGGTCCAGTTTCATTCTTCTGCATGTGGCTGTCCAATTTTCCCAACACCATTTGTTGAAGAGAATAGCTTTTTTTTCGCTGGATATCCTTTCCTATTTCGTCTAAGATTAGTTGGTCATAGGGTGTCCTGATTTGCATTTATCAAAGACTTCCAGAATAGAACACAGGCACTTCTGATCAACATGACACAGGAGACCTCCCTAAATTGGTGTATTTCCTCCCAAAAGCCGAAGGCACTGGACATTTTAGTTGACTTCATCCCTGAAACATTTCTTTCAGGTTCTTTAAAATAACAGAAGTGACGCATCTCCCTCCATTACTGCCTTTATGAATCCCTGAGTAGGAAATTATTAACTGGTCCAGCCACTGAAGACTGAAGCAAGGTGACTAACACTGGACATGGAAGCACTAAGTGAGCCTCAGTCTCCTCATCTATAAAATGGGAGGCTTATACTCACCAGTTTGGAGGTGGCTTCTAGTACTGACATTCTGGACCCAAGGCCCAGAGATGGGGAGAAGGAAAGACAGTGCCTGAATGCAGGAGGGGAGGGAGGGAGAGGAAGGCCAGCAGTCCTTGTAAAGGGGCCTTTCTTAGCCAGGATTTGTTGATCAGGAAACTCCCAGCCCGCCACATGCTCGCTCACCATCCCGAAGAAACCAGGCCGGTCCTCAGGCACGTGCAGTTCTGGGTACACGTTCTCCAAGAACCACCTGAAGTCCTTACACTGGAGCTTTGCACGGAGCTGCTTCCTCTCCGTCACATCCCCAAAGGGTTCCTGAGAAAACAGCAAAGACAGTGAGTCCCTGCGGCCCCCTCTCCATGGACGCTCCTTCCTCAGCAGCACTGAGCACCTCCGGAGCGCCAGGCCCCGCACAGGCTCAGAGGCTCAGACCAGAGACACAGCTGCCACTCCCTGGCAGCCGACACGGTCACACAAACGACTGCCTTCTCGGGGGTCCTCACTTCAGGGAGGCTCAGCCAGCTCCACAACACAAAGCGCCTGGTGATGAAGTCGGGGAGCCGCAGGGTCCTGGGGCCGCATTGGGTCCTGGGCCTGCACGTCGGTGAGCGTGTGATCCCAGACCAGCAACCATCTGTAGAGCACATCCACCAAGACCTTCTGAACGATGGATCCCTGAGTGTGCACTTTCTTTTTTTTTTTTTAGAGATTTTATTTATTCATTTGACAGACAGAGATCACAAGCAGGCTGAGAGGCAGGCAGAGAGAGAGGAGGAAGCAGGCTCCCTACTGAGAAGAGAGCCCGACGCAGGGCTCGATCCCAGGACCCTGGGATCATGACCCGAGCCAAAGGCAGAGGCTTAACCCACTGAGCCACCCAGGCGCCCCTGAGCATGCACTTTCAAACACAGGTCAAGCGTCCTCGATGTCATCACGCTCAAAGACCTCGTGTGCTCAACATACTGAGGTTGGAACATATACTTGGAGTGGCGAGCGCAAAGCTCCACGATGATAAATACTGACGGGAGGTCAGTTTTCTGCACCAGATCAAGGATTGAGAACTTCCCTGTAACTGAATAAAAGCAAGTGTCTACTTAGCACAGCCAGAGGCACAAAGCCAAGGGCTGACATGTTACTGTCCCTGCCTCATGATGCTAGAGTATCAAAATGTGACAAGCTAGATAGCAAAATGGTAATGATAGAAAACTGGCTGAGTAAAATTTCAGATTTTTACTTATTATTTCCCAGCAGTTCTTTCTTTGGTGAGTCACGGGGTCCTCCCCTTCAACCAGATGCCCATTTTAATGCTGGGTCCCAGGCATCCAGACCAAAGGCATAGGCCATGACCCTATGTTATTCCTTGGGAATCCTCAGGAAGAGGGAACTGGGGCTTCCAGCCTGGGTTAGAGAAAGGAGCTGATGTTTCCATCCTGTGGCCGTGGCAGGACAGAGGAAGCCGTGACCCTGGCGTCCAGAGGCGGAGAAGGGCCAAGGGGGAGGTCGGGGCAGCTTCACAGGGCTCAGCAGAGCAGGGAGAGGGATCCATGGGAGGGCACACACCCCAGGCCCAGATCTGTCTGCATCACCCACAAGGCCTTACGCAAGCTCTCTGAGCTTCCCTCTGTCATCTAAAAAATGAGAATTTCACAGCTATCCTGAAGGGCTCGCTAAGGATTCAGAAGAAGAGATTTTCCTCAAGTGGCCAGAATCGAGAGTGTTTACAGCACATCTCATCTTGCCAAGCAGCCCTCTGAGTTATGCTGACACAGGTGGGTACCCTGTGCCGGGGCCTGTAGCCTGTAGAGAACTGGCCCGTGCAGAGGCAGTGGACCTACTCGCTGAAATGTCTTTGTGGATCCACACCTTCTCTGTCACTCGCAGACATGAGCAGAGTGGCCAGAAATCATAGTCACCCCACAGGACGCTCCTAGCTGAGGTCACGTCTCAGTTCCCATACTGTCAACAAGTGTCCTGTTTGGGATCTGCCTAGTGCCACATTTTCAAGGTTTTGCCGCTCTGTGTTGGTGACATCACTGTTCAAAAGCACCCCCAAGCACCATGCTGGAGGGCTGGCTAGCATTCCTAGGTTCAAGAAGGCCATGCTGGGCCTGACAGAGAAATTACATGGGTGGGATGG